TTTAAACCAGGTCAGACTGTTTAAACCAGGTGAGTGGGGACTGTTTAGCCGGGCCGGCTTAGATGATTGGTCGTGCTTTTTACAGCGCCACGGCTTCCACAGATGATGTTTTTTATGGATTTTTTGTCAAAGCACTTCAGATATTCATTGCTATCGGGATGATAAGAGCATTCCATGGAATATAACAACAAGTGTATCTCGAGCCGGTTTCTCAAACTTACCTACCCCACCTTTAAAATGTTCATTTGAATGCTTCACTTTTTACTGTGACATCTTGTTTCAACAGTCACTTCATCACTTTATTTTTGTTCTATTATTATTTTAATTTGTATTTTATTTTATTTGTACCTTGTTTGAATCCTGTTTGTAACTCTGACCCTGTTGCTGCTATTAACGCCTGAATTATTTAAGGGGGTGAATAAAGTTCCATCTTATCTTATCTTCATTTAATGGTTTATTTGGCAGGGACGATGCACAGTAATGAACACTCAAAACATTCAAATGTATCAAGCGTAACAGTGCCAGATTTAGCTTTGAGCTCATTTCCATCCGCACTCCCAATGCTCGTCCACATATGGTATCATCTAACTAAACCTTTTGTATGTGTTGGGGAAGCTTGGACTCAAACTGTACCGCCGTATTTCTGTACCTCTACAGATCACACATGAAACAGACAAATACTCATCATAAAAAAAGACATAATTGGTTTTACTTTTATTTCTAAATTAGTTTCCGCACCATTACAGCAGAATGTAGTGGGTTCATTGATGGTCATGCAACATGCAGTTAAACCTTTAGATGTCAAGTCGTCATACGGGGTAGATCTTTAACCATTGGGTCACCATTTTGTGCATTCACTTGTAGCTGAACATGCATGATATGGTACACAGCTCTGCAAATGGTTTTCACATATGCCTTCTTATCTACTTGTGGTGCTGCTTAGCAAAAAAGGCATCCATGTGGTGGCAAAATGAGGAAAGAAGAAGTGATTTTCTGGTGAATGTAATGGTTTCGCAAAGAAGAAATAGCTGAAAGGAGTCAGGGTAGAGTTTGTCTTGAGCCTAAACATCAGACAAACGACTGGTATGGGTTTAACATCGCTTTAAGGTAAGAAGAAGTAACACTGGTGGTGCTAGTCAAGGCCGTTTCTTCCTCTAGGCGGACTGTGCGGATGCATAGGGCCCCCGCGGCCACTAGGGGGTGCCCAAGCTGAAAGTTCAGGTTCAGCCTCAATATATTTGGGGAGAATTCAAATGATCCGTCTTTATTTGTAGGCTGCCGAGCCCTTCCTGTGTTCGGTGAAGCATTATGTGCTTACAAATCAAATGTAGGATATAAACACAACGAAAATGCAACGAGAGCAAAGCTGAGGCTTGTGTTTGGGTTGATAAAGTCCAAATCATCGTTGGGCTGTCAGCCAATGAGTGACGTCTGAGGAAGGTGACAAATGTAAATTATACATTGTTGAGAAAATGCTGCATCTCTTGCATTTATTGGCGTAGAGGACCCTCATTGTTTACCTTTTTAATATACTTTTTTGTAAGTTTCAATTGCTTGGTTTTCCTCTTAAAGTGTAACAGACTGATGCATCTACACAGATCATCTTAAAGGCTTGGGAATCCCCCCATTGTAGTTAAAAAACTGTAAAAACTAGGGCCCCCAAAAAGCTAGAAACGGCCCTGGTGCTAGTTTGCCAAATAGACAGCCATGTGAGGGCAAAAGGAGGAAGAGAGTGAATTTGTGGCATGTTCCCGATGTCATGGTTTTGAAAGGGTTAGGATAGAGTTTGTTTTGAAGCAAAGCATCAAACAAACGACTGGTTTTCGTTAACATCTTTGCTTAAAGGTAAGAAGAAGTGGGACAGATTTGACACGACAGGGTTAAATTGCGAGAGAGAATTGGAAATGGAACAAAAGCAAAGACAGAGGGTCGATAGCATCTCACAAACCATATGGAGTGACTGTGGCAGAAGTCCAGGGCGGAGATGATTTGTCTGAAGAACTTTCGGGCTTCTTTGGGCGTCAACCTGCCCTTCTTCACCAGGTAATCAAACAACTCTCCGCCGGACACATGCTCCAAAACCAGGTACCTGAGAGACAAGAGGGGAATATATCAATCAATCAATCAATCAATCAATCAATCAATCAATCAATCAGGGTTTATTTATAAAGCCCAATATCACAGATGTTACATTGGTCTCAGTGGACATTACAGTTTGTACAAAATATGAATCCGACACCCTCTGTCCTCGGACCCTCACATCGAACAAGAGAAAAAGTCCAAAGAAACCAGACAGTTAATTGAAAAAAATGTAAGGAGCTTCTGGGAGAGCAACAGATGTTGTGCGTAAATTGAAAAGACAACACATTTACAACATAGGTAGACCAGAGGCTGGATGATATTATGGAAACAGGTGAGCAAAGGGTCTTCTGAACAGAAAACCTGGTATCAAAATGCATGCACACGACTCACGGACACTTTGGTTTAAAGTCAAACACCTCTAAATCATGCATGCCATGTGGTCACTTATCTGGCTAACAGAAGCTATGTTCCCTTCAAGGTTGTTTCTACGCAGACTCAGATCCAGGGGGAGGAAAGCAGGAAGATGAAGAGATACTCACAGGTATTTGTTATTCTCATAGACATCATGCAGCTTCAGAACGTGAGGGTGCTCTATTAGTTTAAGAATAGCTATTTCTCTCTCCACCTGCACAGACAGAGGGAGGCAGAGACGTGGAGAGAAAGGTCAAAGAGAAGGAGGAAGAGGAGGAGGAGGAGGAAAAGGAAGAGGAGGAGGAAGAGGAACGTGGTTAGAAATGATTAAAGTTGAAATGTCAGAGGATGCAAGTAAAAGCAAAGTTAGGTCAAATGTGGCGCGGAGGGAAAAAGCATTAAATGTTAGGTCTGATTCTTTAGTGTTCAATTAAAGATGGAGTTGTAGAAAGGACAAGGGGATTTTTAAAAGTATGATGGAGACAGAAATGGAGGAACAAAGAAGTCTGTGCTGTATTTGAAGCTTCAGACCGATTAGCTCCGATAGCATACTTAAAATACTTCTTAACAACAAGACTTAAAGCTGCACTTGATATTCAATAACACTAAACTATGTATAACGTAATCACTCATAGTGAGAAACTAAAATAACCCCGTTAGCCCAACGTTGGGTTTTTAACTTTTAGCATCTGTCAGCCCTTTGTTTTGGTTTTACTGCGTATTTTATTATTTACTTTTTCACTCGTATTGAGCATTAAATGTTACGTCTGATTCTTTAGTTCTCACTTAAAGATGAAGACGTAGAAAGGACGAGTGTATTTTTTAAAGTTTCAAGATAAATGGAAGACAGAAATTGAGGAACAAAGATATTCTAGATCAGTGGTTCTCGACTGGTCAGGCCTCGGGAACCACTTTTTCCTTTGTCAATAAATCGCGACCCGAAATTTGAAGCACTCAAATCTATTCAATGGAAAATTGTGCTGTAATATATATATACGCTTTTCAGCATACAATATTAATGAAAGTGAAGTAAAGTGTGTATATCCCTTCACAGAACTAAAGAATGCTTTTAAAAAGGTTTAATGAGATGATGGAATCAAAGCTGAATTGTATAACATCTAAAGGCCCACATGCTGAAACCCCAACCCCAGCAGGGGGTCTGGGGGAGAAAAAAAAAAATATATATTTTCAACTTCTTTTTTCTTCACTCACACATCTGCGACCGACTCGAAACGGGTCCACGACCCACAAGTTGAGAACCACTGTTCTAAAGGACATCGTACATTTTCTATAGTTGAAGCTAAAGCTAGCTCATAGCTTTTAGCTCCTAGCGTACTTAAAATACTTCTTAACAACAAGACTTAAAGCTGCACTTAATATTCTTGCATGAACAATAAACGATGTATAATGTAAAGACTGTCACTCATAGTGAGAAACGTAAAGAGCTCTGTAGCCCCCAGTTAGCTTAACGTTGGGTTTTTAGCATCTTTTAGCTCTTTGTTTTGGTTTTCTCTCGTACAAAGCACTACATGATACGTCAGATTCTTTAGTGGTCAGTTATAGATGAAGTTGTAGACAGGACAAGTGTATTTTTGAAAGTGTGAAGGAAACAGAAATTGAGGAACAAAGAAACCTGTGCTGTCGTAAATGTTCTATAGTTGAAGCTAAAGCTAGCTCAGACCTATTAGCTGCTAGCATAAACACTTTCTTACAACAAGCCGGAAAGCTGCACTTAATATTCTTGCATTAACAATGACGAATGAACTTTATATATATATAAAAGAAACACTCATGACACACGTTAGCTTAGCAGCAGTGTTTTTAGCATCTTTTAGATCCTTGTTTTGTTTTCTCTCGTACAAAGCACTTCATGTTATGTCAGAGTATTTAGTGTTCATGTAAAGTTGTAGACAGGACAAGTAAAAAGGTATTAGGGGAAACAGAAAGGAAGACAAAAAGACGTATGGGAATCTTAGCTGTAGCCCTTGTTAGCTTAACGACAGGTTTTTTGCATATTTCAGCTCATAGTTTTACGGTCTGTAACTTTACTCTTTAAAAAAGCTCTAAGAACACACCGTACACTACCTGTTCACATCAACACAGTAAACAAACATAGCTAGTGATTACCTGTAGCCTTAGAGCAGGTAGTGTCACATTCCCAGATAAAGCTAACAGTACAGGAGGCAATGGGCAACTTTCCAAAAGCAACACAAGCGAGGAGTTCTGTTTAAACCAGGTGAGACTGTTTAAACCAGGTGAGACTGTTTAAACCAGGTGAGTGGGGACTGTTTAAACCAGGTGAG